GGATGGTGGGAGGGTGGTGAGGGATAAAAGACTACAAATAGGGTGCAGTGTATGGGTGATGAGTGCACCAAAATCCCACAAATCACTACTAAAGAACTTACTCATGTAACCAAATACCACCTGTACCCCCAATAACTTATGGGAACATTGAAATTTAAAACATTTTTAAAATTAAAAACAACAACAACAAAAAAGAGCCAGGCATGGTGGCTCAAGACTGCAATCTCAGCACGATGGGAAGCCACAGTGGGTGGATTCCTGGAGCTCAGGAGTTTGAGACCAGCATGGGGAACATGAAGAGACCCTGGTCTCTACTGAAAATACAAAGAAATTAGCCAGGTGTGACAGTGTGCACCTGTGGTCCCAGCTACTTGCGGGGCTGAGGTGGGAGGATGGCTTGAGCCTGAGACACAGAGGTTGCAGTGAGCTGAGATCAAGCCATTGCACTCCAGCCTGGGAAGTAGAGCAAGACTTGTCAAATAAAAAATAAAAAAAGAAAGAAAACTGCAAGTATCTTAAAAGTTAGTATTTGCTCCTTTTTGGCATCTAGTGATATGATTATATAGTTTTTGTCTTTCTTTCTTTTTTTTTTTTGAGATGGAGTTTCACTCTTATTACCCAGGCTGGAGTGCAATGGCGCGATCTCAGCTTACTGCAACCTCTGCCTCCTGGGTTCAAGCAATTCTGCCTCAGCCTCCCGAGTAGCTGGGACTACAGGCGTGCGCCACCATGCCCAGCTAATTTTTGTATTTTTAGTAGAGACGGGGTTTCACCATGTTGACCAGGATGGTCTCGATCTCTTGACCTCGTGATCCCCCGCCTCAGCCTCCCAAAGTGCTGGGATTACAGGCGTGGGCCTGTCTTTTTTTTTTTTTTGACGGCGTCCTGCTCTGTTGCCCAGGCTGGAGTGCAATGGCGTGATCTCGGCTCACTGCAACCTCCGCCTCCCAGGTTCAAGCAATTCTCCTGCCTCAGCCTCCCGAGTAGCTGGGACTACAGGTGCGCACCACCATGCCCAGCTAATTTTTGTATTTTTTTTTTTAGTAGAGACGGGGTTTCACCATGGTCTCGATCTCTTGACCTTGTGATCCACCCTCCTCTGTCTCCCAAAGTGCTGGGATTACAGGTGTGAGCCACTGTGCCTGGCCGGTTTTTGTCTTTCATTCTGTTTATGCGGCATATCACATTTATTGATTTGCATATGTTGAACCATCCTTGCATTCCAGTGATAAAAACATTTCTCAAAAGAAGACATGCAAATAGCCAACAGATAATAAAAAATGCTCAGTGTCACTAATCATTAGAGAAATATAAATTAAAGCCAAAATGAGATCTTTCACCTGTCAAAATGTATTTTAAAATATTTATTATATTTTTAATCATCCTGTACTTTATTTCAAAACAGAGTATTTTCAAATAAAAAAACAAAAGATAAGTGTTGGTGTGGATGTAGAGCAAAGGAAATGCTTGTACACTGTTGGTGGAAATATAAATTGGTGCAGCCATTATGAAAAACATATGGGAATTAAAAAAAAAAACCAAAAATGGAATTATCACATGATCCTGAAATACCACTTCTGAATTTTTTTTTTTTTTAAAGACATTTATTCAGCGTCAGGATCAGACTATTACATTTAGCAATCAACAGCATGGGTGCAAAAAAAAAAAAAAAAAGAAAAAGAAAAAATCTACATTAAAACCCTTTGTTGGAATGCTTTACACTTTCCACAGAACAGAAACTAAAATAACCTGTTATACAATTAGTCACAAATACAGTCCTCGAGTTTTTTGCCCATACACATGAGTATTTGTCTAAATCATGTCTTCTTTGTAGCAGCTAGGCCCTGCCACCACTGTGCTTGGCTGAGTTCACAAATCTGTTGTAACCTGTAGCTTCCCTGTCACTTCTCTGGCTCTCCTCTCCTGCTAAGCTTTGTTTCCTAATTAAAATCTTCTGCCACTGCCATAGCTGCTGCTGCTACTGGAACCGCCATAGCCACCTTGGTTTCGTGGTTTGGGAAAGTATTGGCCGCCACCACCATAGGGGCCAGAGCTTCTGCCTCCAAAGTTTCCTCCCTTCATGGGTCCAAAATTTGAAGACTGATTGTTGTAACTGCCAAAATCATTGTAGCTTCCACCACCTCCAAAATTGCCTCCATCATTACCAAATCCATTATAGCCATCCCCACTGCCACCATATCCACCACCACCACGGCTGCCACCAAAGCCACCACAACCACTGAAATTTCCTCCATGACCAAAGTTGTCATTCCCACCGAAACCACCTCCACGACCACCACCAAAGTTTCCAGAACCACTTCGACCTCTTTGGCTGGATGAAGCACTAGCCATCTCTTGCTTTGACAGGGCTTTCCTAACTTCACAGTTGTGGCCATTCACAGTATGGTATTTCTGAATGACAATCTTATCCACGGAGTCATGGTCGTCAAAGGTTACAAAGGCAAAGCCCCTTTTCTTGCCACTGCCTCTGTCCGTCATGATTTCAGTCACTTCAATTTTTCCATACTGTTCAAAATAATCTCTTAGGTGATGTTCTTCAGTGTCTTCTTTAATGCCACCAACGAATATTTTTTTCACAGTTAAGTGGGCACCTGGTCTTTGAGAATCTTCTCTTGAGACAGCTCTCTTTGGTTCCACAACTCTTCCATCCACTTTGTGTGGCCTTGCATTCATGGCTGCATCCACCTCCTCCACAGTTGCATACGTGACGAACCCAAAGCCCCTGGAGCGCTTGGTGTTTGGATCTCTCATGACCACACAGTCTATGAGCGTTCCCCATTGCTCAAAATGGCTCCTGAGGCTCTCATCGGTTGTTTCAAAGCTCAACCCTCCAATGAAGAGCTTCCTCAGCTGTTCTGACTCTTTAGGAGACTCTGACTTAGACATGATCGCGGGGAGAAGAGAGACTTTAACGATGCTGCTTCGGCGGCGTTCACGGGCAGAAAACCCACTTCTGAATATTAATGTGAAAGACTTGAAATCAGTTTGTTAAAGGGATATCTGTACTCCTATGTTCATTGCAGCACTATTCACAGTAGCCAAGTTATGGATTCAATCTCTGCCCATCAACAGATGAATAGATTTTTTTAAAAATATAGTGCATATATATAATGGAATACTATTCAGCCTTTAAAAAGAAGGAAATTCTGGGCCAGGCACTGTGGCTCACACCTGTAATCCTAGTACTTTGGGATAGTGAGGTGGGTGGATTGCCTGAGCTCAGGAGTTCAAGATTAGCCTGGGCAACACAGTGAAATCATCTCTACTAAAATACAAAAAAAACAGGTGCATGGTGGCATGCACCTGTAGTCACGCCTACTCGGGAGGCTGAGACAAGAGAATGGCTTGAACCTGTGAGGCAGAGGTTGCAGTGAACCAAGATCACACCACTGTGTCTCCAAAAAAAACAAAAAGGAAATTCTGGCTGGGTGCAGTGGCTGGTGCTTGTAATTCCAACACTTTAGGAGGCCAAGGTGGGCAGATCACTTAAGATCAGGAGTTTGAGACCAGCCTAGGCAACATGGCAAAACCCCGTCTCTATTAAAAAATAAAAAAATTTGCTGGGCATGGTGACACATGCCTGTAATCCCAGCTACTCAGAGGCTGAAGCAGGATAATCACTTGAACCTGGGAGGCAGAAGTTTCAGTGAGCTGCAATCATGCCACTGCACTCCCGCCTGGGTTACAGAGTGAGTGAGACTCCATCTCAAAAAAAAAAAAAGAACAGAAAAAGAGAAGGAAATTCTGACATTGTGACGACATTGACAGAATTGGAGAACATTATGCTAAGTGAAATAAGTCAGGCCTAGAAAGACAAATACAACATGTTCTCATTTATATGTAGAATTTAAAACAACAAATTTAAAGAAGCAGAGAATAGAATGGTGGTGACAAAAGCTGGAGGTTGGGGGAAATGAGGAGGTGATGGTTAAAGGATATACAATTTCTTGTTGTTTTTTTTTTTCCTTTTTTGAGAGTGAGTCTCACTCTGTTGTCCAGGCTGGACTACAGTGGCGCATTCTTGGCTCACTGCAACCTCTGCCTCATAGGTTGAAGTGACTCTCCTGCCTCAGCCTCCCAAGTAGCTGGGACTACAGCCATTACAAGCACGCACCACCACACCCAGCTATTTTTTTTTTTTTCTGTATTTTTAGTAGAGACGGGGTTCCACCGTGTTGGCCAGGCTGGTCTCGAACTCCTGACCTCAAGTGATCCACCCACCTCAGCCACAGGCATAAGCCACTGTGCCTGGCCCAAAGGGTATACAATTTCAGAGAGAATATGTTTTCTCTTTATATGTATTCTGTTGCACAGCATGGTGAATATAGTTAATAGTAGAGTGTTGTAAATTTCAAAATTGCTAGGTAAATTTCAAGTGTTCTTGCCACAAACAATGTTAAGTATTTGAGGTGACAGATATGTTAACTAGCTTGATTTAATAATTTCAAATTGCATTCATAAATTGTAACAGCATTTTGTACCCCATAATATTTTTCCCCATGTAACACCTTCTTCACAGAACCGATAAATCCATACAATTATACATTGTCAATTTACAATAAAAAAGAATAAAGTTGGTATTAGCTATAACAAGAGTGCCCTAGAAAATAATATATATAAAAGCTAGCTTTTGCCAGCCTGACAAATGAAGGGCAAAGCTGGAGCAATGTATAGAAAGGCAAAGAGGAAGAAAACCCAAGATACACTCAGGGAAACAGAGTTTGGTTTATGTATAGCATAGTTTTAATGGCGTAACACAAGATGTAACTAAAGAAAGAACCAGGCAGGAGAATTGCTTGAATGCAGGAGGCAGAGGTTGCAGTGAGCCGAGATCACACCACTGTACTACAGCCTGGGTGGACAGTGCCAGACTGTCTCCAAAAAAAAAAAAAAAAAAAAAAAGAACCAGATTTCTGTGACCTCATAAGGAATTTTGAACTTTGTTGTACAGGAGAAAGTGATTCTAAGCAGAAGAGAAGTGATCAGGTAAGTTTTAGGAAGGAAACTATGTCATGAACAAAAGGTGCAGGAGTGAAGGCAGCTATGGAATCAATCCAAGTGTCCACTGATGGATGAACAGATAAAGAAAATGTAAGGACCATGCATGGTGGCTCACGCCTGTAATCCCAGCACTTTGGAAGACTGAGGTGGGCGGATCACAAGGTCAGGAATTCAAGAGCAGCCAGGCCAACATGGTGAAACCCCGTCTCTACTTAAAATACAAAAATTAGCTGGGCATGGTGGTGCGTGCCTGTAATCCCAGCTACTCTGGAGGCTGAGGCAGGAGAATTGCTTGAACTGGGACCCGGGAGGCAGAGGTTGCGATGAGTCGAGATCACACCACTGTACTCCAGCCTGGGCTACAGAGCAAGACTCTTGTCTCAAAAACAAAACAAAACAAAACAAAAATGTAAGCTACTTACATAGTGGAGTACTATTCAGCTTTAAAAGAAGGAAATTCTGTCATCTTTGATAACACAGATGAACTTAGAGGACATTACCTAGGTGAAAGAAGCTAGGCACAGAAAGACAAATATTTCATGGTCTCATTCATATGTGGAATCTAAAAAAGTCAAACTCATAGGAGCAGAGTATAATGGCAGTTACCAGGGATGGAGGGTGAGAAGGAAGATTGGGGAGATGTTGGTCAAAGGACACAAAATTTCAGTTAGGGGGAATGAATTCAAGAGTTCCACTGTATACCATGGTGACTACAGTTGATAACAATGTATTGCACACTTGCAAATTGCTAAGAGAATGGGTGTTCATTGTTCTCACCAGAGATCAATAAGTATGTGAGGTGATGCATATGTTAATTAGCTCAATTTGCCATTCCACAGTGTATAAATATTTCAAAACATCATGTGGTATGCCATAAATATATATGTAAGTTTTATTTGTCAACAAAGAGAGAGAAAAAAGGCAGGAAGATTGGGATAAGGGATACTGGTAGAGTCCATTGGGGTTATATAAATTGAGACACTGAATTCAAACTGTGCTGGCAGGTACAAAAAATGCTGAGGTTAAAGACATTTAAGAAATATAAAGGGCCTGCCCATCAGAAGTCCCAAGAAATAAAGTTTTTAATTAAAAAAAAAAGAAAATATAATAAAATTTAAAAAAGAAATATAAAGGGCTGAGTGTGGTGGCTCATGTCTGTAATCCCAACACTTCGAGAGGCTGAGGTAGGAGGATCACTTGAGCCCAGGAGTTGGAGACCAGCCTGGGCAGCATAGTGAGACCCCATCTCTACAAAATAAAAAAATGAGCCAGGCTTGGTGGTGCATGTCTGTGGTTCCAGCTGCTTAATAGACTAAGGCAGGAAGATTGCTTGAGCCAGGGAAGTCGAGGCTGTAGTCAGCTGTGATCGTGCCACTGTACTGTAGCCTGGGCAAGACAGTGAGACCCCAGTCTCAAAAAAAGTCTGAAACAGAAAATAAGAAAACAAAATAAACCGGGTGCATATTGTCAAGATCATCTTTAGTTTTTTCCAGAAGTCCTTGTGGTACTACTACCATTTTGTTAAATGCACCAGCCAAAGGTTTTTATGTTGTCTTAATATTTGATGAAAAACAGGGCTGGGTGTAGTGGCTCACACCTTTAATCCCAGCACTTTGGGAGGCCAAGACAGGCAGATAATGAGGTCAGGAGCTCAAGACCATCCTGGCCAACATGGTGAAATCCCTTCTCTACTAAAAATATAAAAATTAGCCAGGTGTTGTGGCGCATGCCTGTAATCCCAGCTACTCAGGAGGCTGAGGCAGGAGAATCACTTGAATCCAGGAGGCAGAGGTTGTGGTGAGCCAAGATCAGGCCATTGCACTACTGCCTGGGTGACAGAGCAAGATTCCCTCTCAAAAAAAAAAAAAAATCGATGAAAAATTCCTGGTTCCAAACCAATAGGAAAATGGAGAGTATCCCTAAGACATAAGATAAAATATCAATGAATTCTCAGATGAAATTCTTCTCCTTCTTTGGGTCTTGCCAAGGGAGAAGTCATTATACAAATGTTTTTTACTGCTCAGTTCAAAGCCCTATCCTGACTGGCCTCCCTTGTTTCCCTTTTCTCTTGACGCAGGTCAGCTTTCCAATCCATTGTGATCACTACCAGAGTCTGTCTTTCAGGTAAGGTCTTCTCCCTCTCCATACCACAGCCTCAGGGTAGAACCCTGTACAAAAGCCCCCTTCCTCACTGTCCTCAAAAACAATCACCATTGCCTTTTCCTTTAGGAATTGAGACATCTAATCACTTTGAGGAAAGAGAAGAATATGTGTTCCAACCATCACAGCAGACTTGTCAGACATGCGAGAAAAGTAGCCATCTTGGACTTGGACACCAATAGCCAAGACTTCAGCCCTGGTCTCCCTCTGACCTGGAGCTGACTGGCTGAGCCCAGCCAACCCTCAAAACCATAATGAGTTGTTGTCTAAAGCCACTGAGTTGAGGGGTAGTGTGTCAGGAAGCAATAGATACCTGAACTACAGGTAGTGCTAAGAAACAGACCACAGTGGAGCAGGGGGTAAAACCAGTGAGGAATTGATTTTAATAATCCAGATGCTCTCAGTGCCTCTTGTTCAGGAATTCCCATTGCTCTTCAAATAAAGTCTAAAGTCCTTAGTATGGTCTGCAAGGGCTTTTATGATCTCACCTGTGACTAAAAGACCTTTTTTTTTTTTTTTTTTTTTTTTTTTTTTGAGACGGAGTTTTGCTCTTGTTACCCAGGCTGGAGTGCAATGGTGTGATCTCAGCTCACCGCAACCTCTGCCTCCTGGGTTCAGGCAATTCTCCTGCCTCAGCCTCCTGGAGTAGCTGGGATTACAGGCATGCGCCACCATGCCCAGCTAATTTTTTCTATTTTTAGTAGAGACGGGGTTTCACCATGTTTACCAGGATGGTCTCGATCTCTTGACCTCATGATCCACCCGCCTCGGCCTCCCAAAGTGCTGGGATTACACTGCACCTGGCCCCCTTTTTTTTTTTTTCAGATGGAGTCTCACTCTGTTGCCCAGGCTAGAGAATAGTAGCGCAGTCTTGGCTTACTGCAAACTTGAGTTGCTGGGTTCAAGTGATTCTAATGTTTCAGCCTCCAAGTAGCTGGGATTATAGGCATGCACCATCAAGCCTAATTTTTCTATTTTTAGTAGAGACAGGGTTTCACCATGTTGGCCAGGCTGATCTTGAACTCCTGACCTCAGGTGATCCAACTGCCTCAGCCTCCCAAAGTGCTGGGATTACAGGTGTGAGCCACAGTGCCTTACCTAGAATATTTTCATTACCTCAAAAAGAAACCCCGCATTGTTCAACTATGATCCACCTATTATTTCCCATCACTCTCTTGGCCACTTCTACTCATCTGCTTTGTCTCTGTAATTTCCCTATTCTGGCCATTTCATGTGAATACAATATGTGATCTTCTGTGACTGGCTTCTTTCACACTTAGCATGTTTTCAAGGTTTATCCATTTGTGACATGTTATCAGTACTTCATTCCTTGTTATGGATTAATAATATTCTTTTGTATGGATATACTACATTTTGTTTATCCATTCATCAGTTGATGGACATTTGGGTTGGTTCTACCTTTTAGCTACTATCATTATTATTACTATTGAGACAGGGTCTCACTCTGCCACCTAGGCTGGAGTGCAGTGGCACAGTCACAGCTCACTGCAGCTTCAACCTCCTGGGCTCAGATGTTCCTCCCACCTCAGCCTCCTGAGTAGCTGGGACTACAGGTACAGTGCCACCATGCTCAGCTAATTTTTGTATTTTTTGTAGAGATGGGGTTTTACCACGCTGCCTAGGCTAGCTAGTCCCAAACTCTGGGGCTCAAGCCATTCTCCTGCCTTGGCCTCCCAAAGTGCTGGGACTACAGATGTGAGCCACCAAGCCTGGCCCTTTTGGGTATTATTAATGATGCTATAAATATCCACATACAAGTTATGGAGCAAATGTTTTCGTTTCTCTTGAGCATTGGAATTGCTGGGTCACACGGTGACTCTATGTTTCATTATTTGCCAAAGCGCGAGACTGTTTTCCAGCATGGCTGCACCAGTTTACATTTTCACCAGTGGTGTATAAGGGTTCCAATCTCTGCATATCCTTGCCAACATTTTTTGAGTTTATTCTAGCCTTTATTTTGTTTGTTTGAGATGTAGTTTTGCTCTTGTTGCTCAGGTTGCAGCCCAACGGCACCATCTGGGCTCACTACAAACTCCGCCTTCCAGGTTCAAGCGATTCTCCTGCTGCAGCCTACTAAGTAGTTGGGATCATAGGCATGAACCACCAGGCCTAATTTTGTATTTTCAGTAGACAGTGTTCCGCCATGTTGGCCAAGCTGGTCTCAACTCCTGACCTCAAGTGATCCACCCACCTCAGCTGCCCAAACAGCTGGGTTTATGAGCATGAGCCACCAAGGCCGGCATTGATTCTAGCCTTTTTAGTGAGTGTAATGAGGTTTTGATAGAATTCTCCAATGACTAATAATGTCTAATATCTTTTCATGTACTTATTACTTATTAACCACTTGCTAATCTTCCTTGAGAAATATCTATTCATCTTCTTTGCCTATGTGTTTTTTTTTTTTTTTTTTTTTTTTTTTAATGAAACGGATTCTTGCTGTTGTACAGACTCGAGTGCAGTGGCACAATCCGGGCTTTCTACAAGTGATTCTCCTGCCTCAGCTTCCTGAGTAGCTGGGATTACAGGTGCCAGCCACCACACCCAGCTAATTTTTTGTGTTTTTAGTATAGTCAGGGTTTCACTGTGTTAGCCAGGTTGGTCCTGAACTTCTGGCCTCAAGTGATCTGCCTGCCTTGGCCTCTCAAAGTGCTAGGATTATAGGCATCAGTGCCTACATTTCAAGTGTGTGTTTTTTCCTTTTTTGAGACAGGGTCTTGCTTTGTGACGCAGGCTGGAGTGCAGTGATGCCATCACAGCTCACTGCAGCCTTAGCCTTCTGGGCTCAAGTGATCCTCCCACCGCAGCCTCCTGAGTAGCTGGGACTACAGGTGTGTGCTACCACACCCACCTGATTTTTAAGTATTTTGTGGTCAGGGTCTTGCCATGTTATGCAGGATGGTCTTTAATTCCTGGCCTCAAGTGATCCTCCTGCCTCAGCCTCTGCTGAGATTATAGGCATGAGTTTTCTTTTTTTTTTTTTTTTTGAAACGGAGTTTTGCTCCTTACCCAGGCTAGAGTGCAATGGCACGATCTTGGCTCACCACAACCTCCGCCTCCTGAGTTCAGGCAATTCTCCTGCCTCAGTCTCCTGAGTAGCTGGGATTACAGGCACGTGCCACCATCCCCAGCTAATTTTTTTTTTTTTTTTTTTTTTTTTTTAGTGGAAGTGGATCATCCTTGCCTTCTTCATGTTGAATAGGCCAAGGGGAGAAGGACGAAAAGGGGCTAGTTTTTTTTTTTTTTAATGGATTGGAGGTTTCAGTGGGACGGGAGAATCACAAGGAATCAGGTGTTCAGAGGAATGTATTGAGTAGAGGTGAGGAACTAGGATGTTGAAAAGTAAAAAAAGGAGAGGAAAGGAAGAGGAAGAAAAAGAGGGAGAGAATATCGCTTCATTCTAAAAATGGGTAATAATAATGGCCGATCAATATTTTGTGTATTTAAAATGGAGAGCTCTATAAATATTTATTGAGTTTACTTGTTCCGGATCTGAGTTGAAGTCCTGGATATCCTTATTAATTTTCTGTCTCGTTGAGTCTAAATCTCGTTATGGGTCTTAGGTATCTGGGTATTAAGATCTCTTATTGTTGCATTGATCCTTTTACCACTGTATCTTTGTTGCTTTGCAATCTATTTTATCAAATGTGAGAATTGCAACTCCTGCTTTTTGTTTATTTATTTTTGCTCTCCATTTGGTTGGTAAATTTTTCTCCAACCCTTTGAGTCTTTGTGTATCTTTGGATATACCATTAGGTTTTGGCTGTATCTTTTGATTGGAGGATTTAGTCTATTTAAATTTTACTGCCATTTGATGTTAACTGGCTATTTTATCCATTCATTGATGTAAATTCTTCTTTATGTTGATGCTCTTTACTTTTTGGTATATTTTTAGAAAGGCTCATACTGGTTATTCCTTTCTATGTATAATGCTTCTTTCAGAAGTTCTTGTAAAGCAGGCCTGGTGGTAATAAAATCTCTGAGTACTTGCTTGTTCATAAAAGATTTTATTTTTCCTTCAATTCTGAAGCTTAGTTTGGCAGGATATGAGAATCTAGGCTGAAAGTTCTGTTCTTTAAGTATGTTGAATATTGGCCCCCCACTCTCTTCTGGCTTGTAGGGTTTCTGCTGAGAGATCTGCTAAGTCTAATAGGCTTCCCTTTATGGGTAACCTGGCCTTTCTCTCAGGCTGCCCTTAGTATTTTCTCCTTCGTTTTGATCCTGGTGAATCTAACAATTATGTGCCTTGGGGGTGCTCTTCTTGAGAAATATCTTTGTGGTGTTCTCTGTATTACCTGGGGTTGAATAGTGTCCTGCTTTGCTAGATTGGGGAAATTTTCCTGGATAATATCCTGAAAAGTATTTTCCAGCTTGGATTCTCTCCATCACATTCAGGTACACCAATCAAACGTAGATTGGGTCTTTTCCCATAGTCCCATATTTCTTGGAGACTTTGCTCATTCCTTTTCATCCTTTTTTCTCTATTCATGTCTTGTCGTTGTATTTCATTAAGTTGGTCTTTGACCTCTGATATCCTTTCTTCTGCTTGATCCATTCTGCTAAACTTGTGCATATTTCACTAAGTTCTCGTGTTGTATTTTTTAACTCCGTTAGTTCATTTATATTCCTCTCTATATTGTCTATTTAGCATTTTGTCAAACCTTTTTTCAAAGTCCTTAGTTTCTTTACATTGGGTTAGAACAAGTTCTTTTAATTCCCAGAAGTTTCTTCTCCACCTTCTGAAGCCTACTTCAGATAATGGAACACAGTCCTTTTCCATCAGGGCTTGTTCCATTGCTGATGAGGAACTACAATCCCCTGTAGAGGGAGAGGGGTTCTGATTTTGGGTATGCTCGGCCTTCTTAGGCTGGTTTTTTCCCGTTATTATAAATTTATCCACCTGTCGTCTTTACAATTAGGTTTCTGAGTTGACGTCCAATTTATTGATTCCCAGTACTGGGATTCAAGCAACCCACTGCGCCAGCCAAAATAGCAGCGGTAAGACTGATGGTGCTCTTCTGCCCAGGAATCTCTGGTCTGGCTTCCTTTTCGAGTCCGCAACAAGTGGCTCTGCCTTCCCGGAGCTCCAAACACCAGTCAGTAAGGGAACCAGTCCTGTTTACTCTGCATGAAGAGCTGCCACACCAAGGCGCTGGCAAAATCGCTGCACCCGGCCACAAGAGTCGCGCTGGCAACCCGTGGGGCTCTTCCACTAAAAAATCTGCTGGTCCGTGAACAACGAAAATTCGTCTGAAAGTGTGGCATCCTCTCGTTCTCTGAGCTTTCACTGGGAGCTACAATCCTGAGCTGTTAGTGATCAGCCATCTTGGATCTCTCAATTTTTTGTGTTTTTAGTAGAGACGAGGTTTCACCATGTTGACCAGGATAGTCTTGATCTCTTGACCTCGTGATTTCTACATACAAGTCCCTTACCAGTTGCAGTATTTATAGCTT